AAATATTAAATAATATAAATTATTTTTAAAATTTTATTTTATTTTTTAAAAAATGAAAATTTATTTTTATTTGATTTATAATTTTAATATTTTATTGCATTTTTTTTATTTCATATTACTATATAATTCATATTTTTTATTTATTAATGAATTATAAAATATTTTAAGAAAATAAAAATAATGATTTTTTGGAATTATTAAAGTTAAAAGAAAATAATTAAAAAATAAAAAATACTCTTAAATATTTAACAAACTCGTAATAAAGAATTTTGAATTCATATAAAAGTGAAATATCTTGTTAAACGAATCATAGTTAATTTGAATATGAAAATGAAATGAAATATTAAACAAGCAATAATATATACACTGACAATAAAAATAATAATTAATTAATTTCACCATAAAAATAATTACTTGATCATTAAAGTATTCACAGTCAAGATAATTCAATTTAAAATAACAATTTTAAAGAAATGAATCAAGAAGATTATTTATAAATAAAATAAAGAATTTTATAATACCAAATTCAAAAAGCAAATTCTAATTATTAAAATAAAATTACATAAATATAAAACTAATAAGATGAAGAAGAACCATAAATAATATAATAATTTTAAATTAAAAAAAATATTATTAATAAACAAGTTTATTTTTTTTATTTTTTTATATAATGAAATTAAAATAAATAAATAATTAGATAATAGAATATAATGAATTGATAAATTAATAAACTGATATAAATAAAAGTATAATTGAAAGATTTGAAGAATACTAACTTTCTTTTTAAAAATAAAATTAATTAATTGATTAATAGATATAAGAAACTTAAGCTAATTATAAAAATAAATTAAATTATCTAGAATAAACAATTTCTAAATAAAATAAAGACTTATTAGAAGTTCAAAACCAAATAAAAAGTCACACAAATTAAAAAAAAACAGTTATAAACAGAGTTGATAAATCAAAATAAATTATAGAAGAAGAATTTAAAAATTAAGAAATATTAAATTATGAACAAATTATTTAAATTTAAGAAGAACAATTAATATAAAGTAAATAAAAAAAAAAAAAATTAACAAAAAAATAGTTTAAAAAGAATATTTTGACAAGAAGTAGAAAATCGCTTATATGCAAGAAAATTTAGATTTATTATTATTATAGTTATAAAATTTATGAAAAATAACAAGTTTTTAATTTATATATTTATATAAATTATACAATGAACTTTTTTTATATTGACATTTATTATAAAAAATTAAAAAATAATAAAAAATTTAAATATTATATTTATATTTATATGATAATAAATCAAATATTTGTATAAAAAATATTTAATAATTATATTTAAAAATATATTTCTACAAATTAATGTTATCTCATAACTTATAATTATCTATTATAATATATGATACTAATAACTATTACACTATATAAAAAATTAATTTTTTTCTTTAAGTAATTGCTCAACATCTTATTAATAATCCGATTTTTAATCTTAGAAATGATAATAAAGTTTTATGTATAAATACTATTATTCTCAATACTTATATATATAATGTATTCATTTTATTAATAATATTTTAAATAGCAAACATATTATAGTTTTATAATAATTTTCTTTGAATTCATTAGTCTTTACTTTTTCTAACAAATCATCAATTATCTTACTCTATATAAATTTATTATTATAAATGTAATTTTAAATTAATATAATATATTTGGTATTATATCTAGTTTAGTTAAACCTCTTATATAATTCTCTAAAAAACAAAAGATTGAGTTTAAAACAAAACAGGAAAATACTTAAAGAGATATTTTTTTTTATTAATTTTATGTGAATTGTGCAAGCGAAAAAAAATTAAATAAATAATAATTAAAAAAATAAGATTTTATAAGAGAAAAAAAGAGATTGATTAGAGAGGTTATGGCATGGAAAGTAAACTGGAAAATTGTATTTTCTATTTAAATATGCAATTCTTATTATTAAAATCAATATTATTATTATTGCTTTCTTAAAATTCTTCATAATTAATAATTTTATCATATTCAGGTTTTAAAATTTTATGAAAAAATATAATAGGGATAACAATTTGGATTAACAATTTATAAACTTAAACTTAACTACTTAATATTTCCCATTTTAAAAATCTATAATCTCCTATCTTCATTATTCATAATAAAAGATTTTAATAATTTTCTTCTTCTTTTTTAAATATTGATTTTTTTTGTTTTAGTTTAATATTTTAAATTAGTTGATAATACCGAAACAAACCATATTTAATTTATTAATTACAATTATTTAACTGAACTTCGTAAAAGGACTATATTTATTATTAAATCAGAAATTATTGAATAATAGAAGGAAATACGCAGTTTATTTGATTTTTAATAAATATTCAGATTAAAAAGATAGTAATTTAATAATATACTAAACATTAATTTTAAATTATATTTAATTAATAAAGAAATAAATAATATTGATTTAATTATTTTTTATTTGCTCATGTTTACTTAATTTTTTTTTAAAAATACTATTATAAATTTTTAATTATGTAAATAATATAAAATAAATATATAGAATATATTATATTTATAATAATTAATATATTTAAATAATATTTATGTTAACAAATAATGTTTCTTATTTAAAATAATAAAAAGCAAATCAATTTTCTTGAATATCAACTATTTAGCTTTTCAAAAGATATATTTTAGCTTCTCCATTATTAAGATAGACTTAAAAAGATTTATTTTAAACAGTAATGCAATCATCTTTTGGCCAGAAAACATTGCAAATAACATCTCCATTTTAGAAAGGATGAGTAGTGATAATTTTAGTAACTTAATAGAATTTATTAGTAACTGATACCCACATTTTACCTCTGAAAAATGCATAAATCTCCTAATCAGCGTAACTTTCAGTTTAAATGTTACTATTAAGATGAATTCTTCTAAAGTTAGTAAACTAGACTTTATTAAAGGATAAAGCTTTATATTTAGCTGAGAGTACTGTTTATATGTATTTGTACATTTCTGAGCTAGTATGAAAATTGTTCCATAAAGGTTCTCTATCATATGGATCTGCGCCTCCAACAAAATATTATTCAGTTCCATAATACATAATAGGAACTCCTATAGTAGTAAGAGTTAAAGTAGTATAGGCTTTAAGAAGAGTTTTTAAAGAATTTTGATCTAAATGAGAATAACTCAAAAATCTTGGGTTATCATGATTATCTATAAATTAAGCTAATATAGATACATCAATATTTTATCTCTACCAATTTTAGTAATGATCACGGATTCCTAACATATCTTTTTAGTATAAAAATATGTCTTTAACTGTAAAGTACCAAGGATAGTTCAATACGCTTCCTACAGAACTTACATATCCTCCTACATAACTATATGAGGGGTCAAATACTTCTCCTACTGCAAATACACCAGCACTTTCTGTGTATTATTTCCAGAATTTTGGCGATACTTCAGGGACAGTGTCTTAATTTTTATTTTTTTAGTATTTATTTTATTTTGAATATATATTTATTACCTATTCTAATACCATCAATATTATATGTTTAAATAAGATTTTTAATCCATTAAAATAAATAGTTAGCAACAAAAGGATTTTCAGTATTTAAATCAGCTAATCCTGAAAGTCTACAATTTTATATATTTTTCATATTTTTTGTTGCAAAGTCATTGTCTGATATTAAACAATATTCATGATAGTGTTCTGGGAGATTGAAAGGAATATTTTTTGAAAAGTCCAAATCTGTATTACCCATGTGATTTGCTACTACATCTACCATAACCCATATATCCTTTTTATGACAAGATTCTATTAGTTTTTTTAAACCTTATTCCCCACCATAATGAGAGTTTATTTTTGATAAGTCTTAAGCTGCATAACCATGGAATGCATGTTCTACATTTTAAGGAATTGGTGATATCCATATAGCATTAAAACCCATTCCTATTTTTTTTTATAATTTTAGGTTTGCATTTTTTTTTATTTTACCTTGTATGTAATCTAAGTTATTAATAATGCCAAAAAAATCACCTCCACAATAATTTGGTTAACTGTTTAAATCACAGGAAGGTTTATTGCCGTCTCCTTTTGCAAATCTATTTTTTATATTTTCTTGTTTAATAAAAATATATAATTATTTTAAATTAATTTTATTAATTTAAACTATATACCTATCAGTTATTATTTAGTATATTGTTCTTGATTGCCATTCTTAAGCAGAACGAGAAAAAACAGAAGAAATAGTTAAAATAAATAATAAAATTAATATTGTCATTTTTAATTTTTTTTATTTATTTAGTTACTTTTATTAAAATGTTGAATTAGAATTTCGTTTTAATAAAATAAAAAAAAATTTTAATTAATTTTATTATAATAAAAATATAATTTAATATATATTATTTATTACATAGCGTATATATTAAAAAAAAAAATTACACATAATTACATACTAATAATATAATAAATATTATTTTTTTAAAAAGAAATATTTTAATACATAATATAATTTCATAATATTTATTAAAAAATTAAATTCATTAGGTTAGATTTATAATAAATAAAAAAAAATGATTTATAAATATATATAATAAACAAATTATAATATATACTTATATATCCTATAAGATTGATTAAAATCAGCAACCTTTGGTTCTTGAATACAAAGGTGGAACAGAGGGACATTTTTCATTCATATGGGAATAAGGATCAATAGTACTATATCCATCACTAGTAATATCCATTTTGAATTTTCCCATAATTTAGCAATATGGCAATCCATCATTTAAACACTTTGCAGGCTTTTTATAATTAAGATCAAAAAAATTAGTTTAATAAATATCTCTAGGAGTAAATTCAGTTGCATTAATTTCCAGATTTTCAAAAATTCCTCCTGCTTTCCAAACAGCAGCTACAAAAGAAGAACAAACCATAGACTATCCATCACTATAAATCCAAGAATCTTATTCAGGCATTGAAAAGAGTTAACTAAGAGTGATATTTCTTTAGCTCATTACAGTATATATTTCACCCAAATTAAGATCTTTAGTCTTAAGTCTTTAATTAAGGGCTTCTCCAAGGAATGTATTTACTAATTTAGGAAGGAATTTTTCTAATAATGAGAAAACTGAATAGAGGAAATTTATATCAAGAATAGCAGGAAGACTTTCCTTTTCAGTATCTATCCAACCAAAAAGGAAATTATGATAGCCATAAGGTAATCCTTCTACCTTCTTAAACCATTCAGAGGCCGCTTTATTATTAAATTTAGCTCTTATTTCCTCACGGAGAGGTAATAAAGCTACATTAAAGCCTGCATTTTTAGCATATTTTTTCCAATCGGACCATTTGTTTCTCTATATGTTACGTTTAGGCCAATACCAGGCATCTTAAGATTCAACAGCATACATTTCTCCGTCAATTTCAAGTAAAGTTACTGAATGTCCACTTCTGCTTCCAGTGCCCAATTAAATAATTTAATCCAATCCGTCCATTCTTGTTATAATAAGTAAATCTCCAGGTTTTACTTCAGTTTCATCTAAGTCTACAAAAACATCATTTCTTCTTTCCCATTAATATCCAGTTCCATGTTTAATAAAAATAGGATTCAATATTTCCTGCCAAAAAGCTGGTTTTGATCCAAATAATGGAATATATGGATTACTAGAAAACCCTCCAAAGAAAAGACCTACAGTTATAATTAAATCAGGGACAATATTTGCAAAAGAGTCACATGTTCTGAATATATTAAGTCCAAAAGTTAAAATAGAGTTGATTTATTTTTCTGATAAATTCTTTAAAGTCCATTTATAAGTCTAATTTTCCTCTCCAATCACCAATACATGGTAATTTTCTAAAGATGCAATTGTAAATGTATCACTACATTTATTTCCTTTTTCTTTATTTTTTCCAGATTTGAATGTTAGTTGAACTGTTTTAGAATTTATTTGCTAATATTCTACTTCTATTTATTCAAAGCAATCATCTTGGTGGCTTTCTAATAATATCTTCTCATTTCCATTTCGTCCTATTGTCCCCACATGCTATGATAAAAATTTTAAAAAATCTCCCTTTTTACCTTTTGAACATTAGATTAACAAATTATCTTAGTCTTCTTTCGTAAATTTTAATATCTTGTTAAATAGTTCACTGTGTAAGGAAAAATCTTCGAAGATTGATTTGGAAAATCCGTTTACTAATATTGTATCTATGTAGTCTTCATGCTTTTTTGTAAATTCTTAAAATCCAGTGTACAAAGATTTTTTTTAATAACCTTAATTTACTAGTTATTCTGAAATATTAAATTAATAGGAAACTAATATTGTTGTCAAAAATATTAATATTTTTATCATTTTATTATTTAAATTCTTATTTTTTATTTTTAATTCTTATTTTTTTAATAATTATTATTTTTCAAGTATATTATTAATTTTTTATATATAAATTATGAGTTATTTAATAATGTATTATATGAAGTCTATACATTAAAAAATTAACATTTATCTTATAATTATTTGTTTTGAAATAAAAATTAAATTCTTTTATAAATAATTTTATATTGGGTTATCTTAATTAAATTTTATAATTTTTTCTTATAAATGTATTTAATGTATATAATATTTTGTTTAATTTATTTTGTATTTAAACAAAAAAAAAATTAATAATATTTTGTATTTTGTGTTAATAAATAATAAAATATTCTATGTATTTTAATATATAAAAAATGTATATTAAATTATGTCATAAAACATAATAATTTCTTAGTATTTTAGAAAAACAAAATATAATATTTGTTTTTAACAAAAAAAGTAAAAAGTAGTTTTTATCGTATTTTTGATATTTATAAAAAAAAAAAAATGAAAAATAATAAAATATTAAAGATACAAGTTATTTAAAAATAAAAAAAATATAATTCTAATTGGAGTAAAATAAAAAATATATTTATATTATTTATAAAATAATAATTGACATTTGATATGTGTAATATAAAATTAAAAATTGATAATTTAACTAATTATTTCAAAATTTAAAATAAATAATAATTTTTATAATCATTTAATAATAAATTTGAGAAGAATAATAAAAAATATAAAAAAAAATCAACATCTAAAAAAATATATGTACAAGATAAAATAAAAATAATCAATAATTGAAATTATAAAAAATACTACATATAATATAATCATATAAATAATATAATAAATAAATTAAATAAAAAAAATAAATGAATTTATAAATACATATATATGTATATTTATATATTTATATATTTATATATTTATATATTTATATATTTATATATAAATAATTTATTATTTTTTTTTAATTAAATTATAATATTTAAAAATTAAAGACATTTAATAGTTAATAATTCTTTTTTTTTAAATTTTTTATTTAATTTAAATCAATATTATTTTTAATCTTTTCGTAAAGTATTTAAATAATCTTATCAATGTAATATTCTTTATATATTTAATATATTTTAAGTTTGAATCATCTCAATTTTATTTATTATAAGAAATTTAAATTTATTTTATTTTACAATATTTTTAAAATTATTTTATATACAAAAATAACTAATATATGAAATTTTAAATAAATATTTTTTCTAATTCAAATTTTTTTATACCAATTATTTATCATTATATATATATTGTTAAAATCATTTATTATTATGCATTTCATTATCTTTTATTTTTAAAATTATTTATATATTTGTAAAATAAATTATTTTTATTAAATAATAAATAAATTTAATGTTTATGTATAATTAAATAATTTAAATTTACATTATTAACCTAGAACTTATATCCACATGCATATGATACGATTAAATTAGATTATTAACTAAAATTTAAATAAATAAGTTGTTAATTATAAGAGCAAATGATATAAATATAAAAGTATTAAATAAGAAAAAAATATTATTGAGATTTAGTATAATAATACAAAAATTATATTAGAAGAGAAAAAAAAAAATTAAAGATAATTTATTATATAAAATAATAAAATTTTAATTAAAATTTTATATAAACAATTAAATATTATTAAAATGTATTTATTATAGGATAATTTTATATGATAATGTTTATATATATTTATATATATATATATTTATATTTATATATTTATATACATATTTATATTTTTATATATAAAAATATATATAGTTTTTATTTACTAACTTATATTCCTTTATAATAATATCAATAAAATTTTATAATTTTTCTATAGAATAAAAATAATATTTATTCACTTTTAAAAGCTTATAACTTTAATAATTATAGACAACTAATAGTAACTTTATTAAATATATATATTAATAAGTTATTTTATTTTTATTTAAATTTTTTTCAGAAATTGAAGAAAACATTTGCTATTGCAATCAAACATTTTTATATGAATTTTTAATCTTGAAATGTAAATAAATAATTTAAACTTAAAATATTATTTTAAATTTAAATTTAGAAAAAAAAATATAAATAAATAAATTTTTAATAATTATTTTCATTTTAAAAGTATTTTTAATAATTATTAAGAAAAATAGTTTTGATTAATTTTTATAAAAATAATTAATTATTTTTTTTAAAAAAAAGTCAAAATTATATAAAAATAATAATAAAAACTTATCAAAAATATATAAGTAATTTATATAAGATTATTAGAGTTTTATAATGAATTATGATAATAATTAATAAATATTTTATTTTTATTTATAAATTAAAAATAAATATTATCTGAATTTAATAAAAAATTATATATAATATATTTAAAGATTTTATTATATTTATATAAATTTTTAATTATACTCATTTTTTTTAAATAATTTTATTTATAGAAAAAAAAATTTTAAAATATATATATATATATATATATATATATATATAATAATATATCATTTGTGAATTATAATTATTTAAAATAATTACTTTTATATATAATTATTTATTTTTTTAAAGTATTCATAATATATTATATAATCAATTGTAAGCTCTAGAACTAATATAGCTTTATTACTTTTAAAAGAGTTTATAATTTTCTTTTTTGAAATTGTTACTTTTACTTTATTAATGATGTTTGAAAATATCATTATTTTTATTATCATATACATAATTATTTTTTTTACAAATGAAATTTTCAATTGATTTAGATTTTTACATGGAATTACGATATATTGAATAATTTAAATTAGTCATTAAAATTTTTTTCTTTAAATTTTTATTTTCTAATTAAATTAATTAAATTTAATTTTAAATATTTAAAACTTTAATTTTTTCTTATTCATATTTTTCTTTATATTAACAACAAGTTTTTTATTTTAATTATATATCTTATTTTACTTTTTGACTTTTTTCATTATTATTACATATTAAGTTTATTATAGTATCTTCTTAGTCATTCGATCGGTATAAACTTAAGTTATTATTATTAATAATTGATATATTTTCAATATTCGATTCTAATTAATTTAAATTATGTATATTTTTTTATAATTCATTAAAACAATTTTTAATAGTTTATTAATATTTTTCTGTTTCTAGTATTAAGTCAAAAAAATTTTTAAGAGCGAAAAAAAATGAATCTATTTCATCTCTTCCAAATCCACATCCTTAAATATTGTTAAAAATAATTTTACTTTCAAAACATTTAAATGAAACCATTGAACATGAAAAATTTAGACTATTATTATTTTGAAGTTAAAAGATTTAAAATAATTATATTAGTTTTTAATTAGGCATATCTCTTATAAGTTTTTAAATGATTTAAATAGATAACATATTATTGTAAAGAGTTTATTTTTAAATTAAAAACACTTATCGTAAAAACAAAATCACAAAATTAAAATATATATATATATTTATATATATATATATATATATATATATATATATACATATATATACATATATATTATTCATATTTTTTAATTTTTCTTAATATAATTATTTTAAAATTCGTTTATTTCTTAAATAAAATGATTAAAAATTATATGTTTTTTACCATTATAGTTTTTTCGTTAGTATCTATATCAGTAAATAGAAAAATTTAAATTGATATGTATACAGAAGCTGATTGTCCAGATTGTATTTATTTAATAACAACTCCTTTAAAATAAGCTTTCGATACTAAAGACTTTTTGAAAATCGTTGATTTAAATATAATTCCTTATGGAAATGCAATAAGAAATAAAGAAAATAACTTGATATAATGTTAACATGGAGAAAATGAATGTTTAGCAAATTTAAATGAAGCTTGCATAAATAAGCATTTGGCTTTTGATAAATTGTCAAATCTTAAATTAATTAATTGTTTAGAAGTAAATATTAAAACTAATCATAGATTATTTGATTAATCTTTTATTTAAAAATGTGGAGATGAGTTAAATATTGAACCATAATATTTATAAAATATTTAAGAATGTGCTAATTCTTAGGAAGGTGTTGATTAATATTTGAAAATGGCTGAATTAACTGAAAGACTTTCTCCTTCAAATGAATATGTGCCTTGGATCGTTGTTGATGGAGTACATGATGAATAATTCGAAGAATAAGTTATCTAAAATATGGTTTAGTTTGTATGCTAAAGATATGATGGTGATATAAATGTGGAAGCATGTCATTAATTTAAATAGTAAAAATATAACTCTTTTTTAAGTTTATAATTAAAAGGAAAAAAATGAAAAATTATTATATTTATCTTTTATTTTTTATTAATATTTTTTTTTTTATTAATAATATCAAAAAAAATATAAAAACGATATAAGTTTTTTAAATTTATTAAAAAGAAATTTTAAAAAACGGAAGATTAGATAAAAACACTAAATTTTAATATTTATATAAAATTTGTCTTAAAAAATAAAATTTAATATTTTTTATAAATATTAACTATTTAAATTATAAATTTACAATTATTTATTTAATGCTTTTTTATATTTTTTATTTTTATGTTTAAATTTTATTTCTTATAATTTTGAAAATTTTAAAATTTTATTAATATAAAAAAAACAAAATAAGCAAGGTGTAAATTAATATGAAAAAAAAAGATTTAAATTATTATTAATTTAGAAATTTCAAAAATCAAAAATTTTCCAAAAAATAAATTCTTTTTATTAATAAGTTTTTGAATATTATAAAAATAAGGTGTTTGATTCAAATATTTCGATATAATTAGATAATATTTATTATAATAAAACTATTTTATTAACAAAATTAATAAACTTATTAAAATAATAATAAAAAAAAAAATTCCAAAGTTTTATTATAAAAAATAAAAATCTTTAATATATATATATTTATTATATTATTTATAGAAAATTTATTAACTTTTTATATAAAAAAGCAGTTTATTTTTATAATTATATATATTTTAAAACTTGTTTTAATTATTTTTTGTTTAAAAAATAAAATACTAAAATTAAGGTAATATATATTAATTAATAGACTTTAGTAAAAGCAATCAAGTAAGTTTTTTTCAAATAAATAATTTAAATTAAACTTTCTATAATTATTAATAAGTTTTGTTAGTTAAATAATAAAAATATAAAATATTAATTTAAAATCGTTTAATATAATATTTTATATAGTACATATTAATTAAATAATACATAGTTTTATATTATATATCACATAAATAATGATGAATAAATTTAAAAAAATAAAATATAATTTTAAAAAATAAATTTATCTCAAAATTATTAATAAAAATAAATTTATCTCAATATAATTATAAAAATAAGTAAATTTATAATTAAATAATTGTTAAGAAAAACTATATAATTAAAATTAAATAAAATAAAACAAGTGCTTATTATTTTTAAAAAAAATATATATATAATTAAATATATATATGAAATAAAAAATTAAAAATAAAAATTAAATAATTTTTATTATTTTATTAATGTTTCTTTAAATATGTATTACTTAAATATTTTTTTTTATTATTATTATTTATTAGTTTATTTTATATTTATATTTTATAAAAATTTAAAGTTAAAAATAAACTGTTTTATTTTATTTTTGTTATTAATAATAGACAATTTAGTATTATAAATTATTATTTTAAACATGAACGCGAAATTCTAAATAAAACGAATTAATTTTTTAAAAAAAGGAAATTATCTTATAAGTATTTGTTTGATTAAAAAAATTGTTAATTATTTTAAAAAATTATCAAATAATGGAATTTTAATATTCAATGATATAAAATGCTTATAATAATTTTATAAGATATTAATATTATTAAGAAAAAAATAAATAATGTAAATAAATTATAAAATAGAGAAAGAAAAATAAATAATATATAATATAATATATTTATTCAATAAAACTATTTTATTTTTACTTATTTAGATAATTATATTATAATAATAATGAAAATAAAAAATTATTAAATATAAAATCATAAATGTATAATTAAAAATGAAATTCAAAATATATATTATATATAAAAATAAATGGAAAAACGAAAGAAAAAAATATTATATTTTTATCAAATATAAAAATATGTATAAATATATATATATATATTTATATTTATTTATATATTATTATATATATATTTAATATTAATAATAAATTATAATTTTAAATTAATTAAAAATATATATTTTAAAAATAAAATATATGGAAAAACTAAAGAAAAAAATATTATATTTTATCAATTATATATATATTTATATTTATTTATGTGTTCATTTTAAGGTATTTTATCATTTTTATTAAATTTTCTTTAATTTCTTAGCTTTAACAACAACCTTATCAATAATTAAAGGTTAAATTTAATTAAATTCAATGTTATTTTTTTCAATATCTTTATTATTATACTTTTCATCTTAATTTATTTTAGGAACAATAATTATGAATATCCAACCATTCCTAAAATGACTCGTAACTTCTTTTATTTATATTTTTTCGAGGTTAGCGCATCCATTAAGCATGACTTTTTCAATTAAGTTAGTTTTTAAAATTTTATTACCAGATGTATTAACATCAATAATTTTTGGGGGGTTTTCAGATGAATATAAATAAATATTTAATAAAATTTTGTTATTAAAATTAATTTAATTAGAATTCATATCAACAAGTTTTATAGGTATATTAAAGTTCCTTTCTTTATAAACAGGGAATTAAATTGTTGCATTAAGAACAAATTTATATTTATATTTAGGAATTTAGTCTTTAAATAAATAAGACAAAATTCCTTCTGAAGTTAAAGATTATTAAGAGATTATTTAAGAAAAAAATGATTATTAGTTAATTGATTTCTCGTCATTATTAAAATTAGAAATTTGTCTATTTTATTATTTTAGTTATCTCAACTTGTCTAATAATTCATTTAGTTTTTGTAAATTAAATTAACTTTATTATTATAGTCCATAAAGTTATTTATTTTAATTTATAAGCCTTCCCATAAGCTTATTTTAGAACTCATAGGGTATTTATTATAAAGAATTCTATTATTGCTTTTATATTGGGAAATTATAGAATTATTAGGAATCTTATATAATTTTATAGTTTTCATTTAATTTTACTTTTTTTACACAATCTTATTAAAATGGTTTAAATTTTTATTATTATGTTTACAAGATTTATTAATTTAGAAAAGGTTATTATTATTACTGAAGTAGTGAAAAATTTGCAGAAAATAAAGGTGTGATTTCAGATTTTAAAGGTTATAATATTGAACCACATTATTTATTAAGAATAGATTAATTTTAAAGTAAAAATATTTAATTCATATGACTACATTAGCCATCTAAACAGTTACATCTTGAATCAAGTAAACACATGTTAAATAGTTTTTTTTTTTTTTTTTTTTTTGGAATTTTGGAATTTGTAATTAAAAAAATATTGTTTTTTTTTTTTATTTTTATTTTTTAATCGATAAAATAAAAAGATTATTAAAATTAATTATCACTACTTTTTTCTCCTTTATTAAACTCATAATTTTTTTAAAAAAAAAATATATAAAAATAAATAATCTATATAAAAAAAATCTATTTAATATTCCTTATTTTACTATTTTTAATATTTATAAAAAAAAATATATATTAAATATAAAATAAATGAATTTTGTTAAAAATGTATTAAATAAAATAAAAGAAATTATTACATTTTCTTATTTATATTTAATAATAAAATCTTTTATTTGTAAATATATTTATATTTACATTTAAATTTATATATAAATTATTGAAAATAAAAAAATCGAATTAATATCAAAAATTTAAATAGTTTATTTTTATAAACTAAAATATTTTATTTTTATATAAAAAAAATTAGAAGGATTAATCATTTTAAAAAAGCCAAATTAGTATCAAATAAATATTTATTATTATAATTTAGAAAAAAATATGTATAAAAGTCTTTAGAGTTAATAACACATATATTTTTATTCGTGAATTAAAATAAAAAAATAATAATTGAAATTTAGGTTTCATATAAAATCTAAAGTTAATAAATAAAAGTTGGATAATAATATTATAGAAATTAATTTAAAAAAAAAATACTACTAAACTAATAATTTAAAAAAATAAAAAAAATAGAGTAATTATTCCTGATTTTTTTTTTTAGATTTAAAATATACTTATATTGTATAGAGTTAACTTTTTATTCAAATTATTAATTAATAAAGGATTTTGAGCAAACAAATAATTTATCGCAATAAAATATTAACAAATTACAATCAAATAATTTAAATATTGAAAAGGAAAATAAAATAAAATTGTACGTAATAAAAAATTTAAAAATATCAGAAAGATATATATAAAAATAAATAAAAAAAAAACATTTTTAAATTATAATTATTTTTTTTAATGCAGGACTTAATGCATTTATTTTTATATTTAAGGAAAATGTTTAATAAAAAGTTAATTTATATATTTTGTAAAATTTTTTCCTTATCTTTTTAATTTATGGGATATTAATTATTATAAATCAAAATTATAAATATTGATATTATTAATACATAATAAATTAATTAAATAATAAATAATTTTAATTCAATGTAAAAAAATAAATGTCTAAAATTATAGAAATTTTAAATTTAAATTATTTTTAAAAAAAAAAATTTAATATTAATATTTTTTAAGGTTAAATAAGATAATAAAATATCTTATAGAATAAAAGTTATAGAAAAAAAATATCAGGTCTTTTATTCAATTATTGATAAAATTTAAATAAATAAAGGGTTTAATGAAATAAAAAATTACTTAAATCTAAAATACTCTATATGTTAATAAAATTATTTATTTTTTATAATATAAAATTATAATACAAAATATATTAAAAAAAAACTAAATATATTTAAATTAACTATATCTAATTTAAAAAAAATTAAAATTAAAAGAAGTAAATGCTTTTGTATAAAATAGATGAAAAGTTGAGTTAATTTATTCATAATTTAGATAATAAATATTTCACATTATTTTTAACTCCATTTGCTTCGTTTTTTAATCCAAAATTTATTATATTTCCAATAATATTTTATTATTACGTAAATCATTATATTCTTCTGAAATCTAAATAATAATCTCTTTATCAATCGCTATTTTATATTCTTACAATAATCATAAATTTAATAATAACATTATATTTGAAGAAGAAAATAAAGCGAAAAAGACCTTATTTTTCAAATTAAATGTTAAAAAAGTCTTAATATTTTCGAAAAAATGAAAATAAT